TAGAAGTTTAATTAAATATTTGATTTTGTTATTGACAAACTTTGTCATTATTTAATTCGGTGCACGCTTAAAGTCCAGGCCTGGCACACTAACGCGAATCCGCGTAAAGTACCCGTTAGGGAACGGCTATTTCCGGCACACAGTAGTGTCGATAATCGTTGGAAAGTCGGAAAAATAATATAGTACTTTACAATTGTTGTGGTTTCCACAACAACTTCTCTGACATTAAACACTTGACATCATCTACCTCATCTCTCTGCGTGGCACTCCAGGAGACTCATCTTAAACCTGGAGAGGGAATTGCTTTAAAAGGATTTGATCTCTACCGCAAGGATGATAATATCCACAACCATGCAAGTGGTGGTGTGGCTATTCTGGTTTCCAATCACATCCCATTCTTGCCGGTACAAATAACAACAGGGCTGCAAGCTGTGGCAGTCAGAATTTTTATTGGAGTAACTGTCACGGTTTGTTCTATATACTTGCCACCAGATGTCAGAGTCAACAAAGATGAATTGGATGCATTAGTTGAACAGTTGCCTACTCCATTTCTTTTACTAGGTGATTTCAATGGTCACAATTCAATGTGGGGCATCGGAGACCAATTAATGCTTCAACAACATACATTAAAACCTGATCAAATTCCAGTCGCTGAGTATTTTTTGCTTCTGTCATTTCTTCTAACAATTGATAACCTTGTCTTACTGCCATAGCTAATTGGCCAGATTGTAATGCTACTACTAATGTTGCCATTCAAATACGTGTTAACCATTCAAGACATGTTGCTTTATTTGTACGAAAAAATGTTCTCACAGTTTTTGGAGGCGTTGATAATGTCAGAGCACAGCCTTCATATGCATTATACATCAGTTTCTCCAAATGTTCCATTATATCCAATAATAATCGTACACGTAGCAAATCATTTCCATTACAATTTTGACTAATTTTAAGATTTTCTTGTTTCCCAGCTTGCTTTGCATAACTTTTAATTGCACCTTCAATTGTTGTGAATGTTTCTTGTGGTTTTCCAAGAGGTGTTCTCAATTTATTTAAGACAAAGTTGTGCTACTTCCCAAGTGTCCAAAACCACAACAAAGAATTGTTGCTCACCATCAAAGTCATCAACATTCCACTAAGTTTAGACTGTTTATCAATATGTTGACTTGTATAAAACAATCTATAAAGCCAGTTCTTATCTTCTGGTTCAATTCCTTGAAGAATGTAAGTCATAACAGTCTTAAAATTATAAGAATGAAAAGTACTAAGTGGAGATCGATTCATATGACCACGACGAACTAACCAAATATCAGATATTGTTATTTCACTATGATCCAGTTGTGTTTGATCAAGTTTTACAGCCTAACCTAATCCAAGTCTTCCAACTGAAAATGGGAATCCACTAGTAATTATATGTAATGGCAAATACATAAAAAAATTACTAAATTCTTCTTGCACATCTACGTTACTGTCACTTAATTTAAGAACACAGACTTCATAGCATCTTTTCAATATGTTTTCAGGCAATGATGATGCAGAACCTTTTACTAATGTTTGCAGAACTCCACAGCATGCTTTAGTTAATAATGGATCAGTGGTATATGCTAGATGTAAGATACTATCAATCATTTCAGATATCTCTGATGTTCTAGATATTTTTGATAAATGGTGTTGTATATTTTCAAAAACTTCTTGACTCCAATGAATACCTAATAATTTGCTATCAAAAGATGTTTCTTTTTGTTTCAATAAGGCAGATAATAATTTTAAAATTCTACTTAAATGACCACTGCTGGGAGGTGACATAACAGATACAGTGGCAAGTATTGGAGAGGTATGACCTGATGAAGATAAGTTTCCACGCTGTGGAAAATTATGATTTATAAGAGAACTACTTGAAATAAAATGACCATGCCTTGTACAATGTGAATAAAGAATATAAAGTAAACCATACTGCAAAGCTGGATAATTAGGAGAAATGACAGAAGCAAAAAATACTCAGGGACTGGAATTTGATCAGGTTTTAATGTATGTTGTTGAAGCATTAATTGGTCTCCGATGTCCTGAAGCTATATTAGGAATGTACAACTCAGGGATGTCAAAGATACGGCCCGCGGGCCATCACTGGCCTTAGAGGCAATTAGTTGCGGCCCCCGACATTAATTTAATAATCATCCATCATACCAACACAAATGATGTGATAATTAATAAAATAACTACTAAATTACCAACAAACCAGCAATAATTCACTTGAAAAACGAACGCTTTCTAACGTCTTCAACGGTCATCATCAGATTCGATTCCAAGAGTTTGAAAAATTGAACATCGAAGTTATGCGCATGTCCGATGCAGAGCCTTAATAAAATTATTTGTGTAATTGGTTTCCTGTTTTAAAATTTCGATGTTTATCATTTTTATTTATTTATTTATTCATATTACTTAGAGATATTAATTTTATTTGATTTATTTTTGTGTTTAATTTCTTGTTTACATTATGTTTTCTCTATTTCATCTTTTGAACTTCAAAGTCTGTCTAAACAAGATATACAGTATTTAGATAAATTTATTGCAGTTAGATATGATTTAAAAGTGGAATATTTCATTTTATATACTTATTATTTTATATATTCGAAAAAATGATATAGAATTATCAACGACAACGAATTTAAAACTATGTAAGACCAACGGGCGAGAAGTAAACAAACAAAACGAAATTAATTAAATAAAAATACAAAAATTTTATTTACTCGCCCGGTTGATGCAGGTTACAAGGATACCAACTTAACTCTAGATCCACCGAACGAGACGCACATTTAATGAACCACCGAGTAATATTATACGCGACAGGAAAGTGCGCGTGTAGTTACAGTCCCTTAAAAATCTCCTTTATTGTTTTTCACATATGCATTTCGGGCAATAAAGGAGATTTTTAACCTGTAGAGCTGTGAGAAAGTCTACCGAAATTTTGTTCGGATTGAAGAGACATTTACCTATATACAGTGCCGGCCCGAGGCAAGTTTTAGGATGGAGCGAGATCCTATTATGGCGCCTCCCTTGGTTGCCCTTAATTTATATCCTTTAATTTTCTTTACCACTGAGGCGCCCACTAGCACTTAGCGCCTGGAGCGTCTGCTCCGTTCGCCCTATGGTAGGGCCGGCTCTGCCTATATAATACGTAATACAGCTACCATTTGAAATTCAACATCCCGATAATTGTTAAAGAAATGTTGTAAAAGGTTAACAAAGTATTGTCGAGGAATGAGCTACCAGATAACGAAGAAAAAACAAGATTGTTACGTGTAGATATGTAAATGAGGGGAGTGTCTCCAATAGAACTGTGATGTCACCTCAGACTATAAGTACAGTAGCTCAAGCAGTGCTGTGCGATGTCTATAATTTTAACATCGATGCTAAATTTCGATGTCGGATTTCACATCGATGTTTGATCGATGCCCATTGGAACATCGATGTTCAATCAAGATAAACTCAAACAATTTAAAAAAAAAAACAAAACCGGGTTTGTTCGAACAGAAGTTCCTGACGCATGCGCAATGTCATTTTACAATGCGAAGAATAACGTGCATGCCGGTTCTAAATCAGTTACAGTTAGGGACTAGGGACTTGCGTAGGAGTAACGTAAGTAACCTAAATTAAGAAAGAACAGGTACAGATAACTTAGCTCTATTTGATACGTGTACGATCGTACATGCAAAAAAAAAGTCGACGGGGTTTTTTTTTACTATTTCCGCCCTGTGGGCACTAAGAGGGCCTTTTATAGCAGGCCCATTATGGGTTCGGCCAGGCCCACAATGGGGCGACCGGGTGGTGAGGGACGGGGCCCGACATATCCGAACGGACCACCCCCCGAAAAATTCCTGGGGATTCCTTGACCCGTCCGGATTCGATCCCGGGTCCCCCAGAGCGGTAGGCTGCCACCTTGACCGCTCGGCCATCCTGCCTCAAAGTCGACAGGTTGCGCGCCACAAGTCGGCGTAAACAGACTAACATGGCAGAGTTGCGGATGAGTTTCAATGAGTGTCAGTTCGTTCACTGTTAAAATAGTGTAAATTTGTAAACATATTTGCAAGAACTTTGTTTCATCGCAATTTCACAATTTCTACGAAATTCCCGGACTGTCCGGGTGAAAACCGAACAGGTGTAACACTAGGAACAAAGAATGAACTGCATGCATCGATGAATCAAAATTCACATATTGCTAACATCGATTCAGGATCGATGTTTCAAAAACAACGGAAGGTCGATGCATCGACGAACAAAAACATCGATGTGTCGATGTCACATCGATGCATCGCACAGCACTAAGCTCAAGTGAAGACAGACGAGGTGAGCTCCTGAACCGATAGCGTTGGTCTGCTGGTAGCAGTGAAAAAGGTGTCGAATAGGAAATCCTAGTAGGAAATCGAAGTTCCAGTTTGACGATAGGAAAAGAGGAAAGTCTTGAGTAGAGGAAAAGGTTCCGAGTATTAATTGAGGTGACGGTTAGGATTGATAGTTGTAAGAGAATTTGTATTTAAGTTAAGAGTTGAATTTTGTTTTGTCGGAATTCCAAGGGGAATAGTTTAAGGTAGAATAAGACTTAAGTTTGTTGAGTTGATTGTGATTTGATTTTTCATTTAATAAATTGTTGTTTTGTTTATAAATCTTGTACATAGTATTTGTTAGACTTGATTAAACATTTGTTATTGAGATTTTTTGTGTGACTAACTTTGTCCTTAATTTATTTCGGTGCACGCTAAAAGTCCAGACCTGGCAACTAACAAACGCAAACCCGCGTAAAGTACCCGTTAGGTCCCGGCTCTTTAAAAAGTAAATTTCGTTGTAGAGCAGCAAACTAAATATAGTACTTTACACAGTTATAATGTTTTTTAAAGAATTTATGACCTCTTTGTTTTTCGCAGGCACCCTTTGATAGCCAACAAACTTCTGTATGCAACAGTAAATGATTGTTTTGAAAACTTAGATTGTGATGAAAATGACAAAGATTTCAATCATTGAGAGCATTGCTTCTGATCTTGTTAACGGCTGTAGTGAGCAATGAAGGCAATAACTAAGGTTTTTTGCAACCAAATGTTGCATTGTGTAATTCACATACATGGCATTTTGGTACCACCTTTTTCAAATATGAAATAAACCTGCGGTACCGTCCAACCATTGCCGGAGCACCATCGGTAGCAATGGACACGATATTATCCAGAGAAATTACCTTTTTCTTTAAAATAGTGTTCCAATATGTCAAATATAGAAAAATTAGAAATGGATACTGAAAAAAAATATAAGTTGTTTTATGAATATTTTACAACAGAGAATTTTTTGTAAAAATTATTTAAATTACATTACTAATGTTATTTGTTTATTATTCTTTTTAAAAACCATATACGTACTTACCTCTGTGGCAAATAGTTATTACAACAAAAAAATATTTTTAATAAGTGGTCCACATAAGTCATCCTTTGAATGTCATCTGTAGATACCACAGAAATTTTAGGTTCACACTTGCTCCAAAGTAACTTCGAAACAATCGCATGTGGATAAAAAGCCTCGTGTATTTATAGTAATGTTTAATGAACCTGTCAAAACATGCATAGATTGGATATTCTGCACATGTGTTAATTTTATGATGACTTGTGCAAACTTGTAAATATAAGCTTTGTTGTTGATCAAGCCAGAACACACATACTGGTGCTCTGCAGATGCTGCATATCATTTATGTACCAGTCAATAAGATATTAATAAGGTATTAGGAACAAAGCTATAATGTACCAATTCCTACTTTTAATACAGATCAATCTTTCTTAAGAGTCATTTAGAACTACCAGTATTTGCTGAAATATGTGTTTGATGATTTTTAGTATCGATCAAACATTCTTGAGAGTATTGCCCAGGGAGTGGAAGTTGGTCCTGAACGCCTCCCAAATTTTCCTTGAACCAGAACAGATCCCTTCAATGTCGATGTGTAGTATCGACCACAGTGGGAACCACTGATGTAGAAGTCTATTCGCGTTTTTCATGAACTATAGAGGGCGCTGTATTTCTACAAAATGGCTACTCTATCTAGGTCGTTTGTTAGTCGTCAATGTAAAATGAATTATATATTACTATCTGATACAGTAGATCCCCCTATAAGACGGTAGATACGTTCCGTTCTTTATGAATCAATTTTGTAGGAATCATAGTTTACGGACTACGGCTGTTTGAAAGGTTTTCTTTCATAAAATTAATCGATTCTAGACTAATCCGACTCAACATTTCCAAAATACGTATATTTTTTT